TATAGGTTTAGAAAAAAAAATACAAAAAATGACTGATTATTGATATAATACCTATATAAAAGAATAATTTTTACTAAAAAAAAAAATAGAGAAATAACGTCAAAAAAAAAAATTTGGAGTGTTAAAGAGATTTTTTATTTTTAAAAAAACCGGGCAGGGGGGGGGGGGGGGGGGGGGGGGGGGGTATAAAAGAGACGTAATAAGGCGGTGATCGAAATGCTGAAATTAAGGAGCTTCATCGACCACGGCGACGGCAGAGAACTCACTTAAAATGTCAAATGTAGGCGAATTACCCCAGAGTTGAATTCTTGGGGACCACCCTTAGGCATTTACCCGCCCTTTCAGTCCCGGGGGTGGGGCACTTGCAAATTTTGCGCTGCCCGGGGGCTAGGCATTTGCAACCTTCGGGGCTATTCCCGAGCTTTTGACACTCACGCGGTTTCCTATCAGAATATAACTACACAGAGGATATTACTGGAAAAAAGCAGATTGGCTCGTCTGTCAAGAACGGGGGGTTGTAAAGGCATGTTCTCGATTTTATGCATGCATTTCTTCATTGCTTAATCAAACCAGAATTACATAGCGAAACTCAGGAGCTATCGACGTGAATCAACGTTTTTTGGTTAGTGAATCAATTTCTGTTGAATATTTCTGTTCACAACCTATATATAACTTTACAGCGCTCTATTAATTTTAATGTCAATAATTTTATATCAATACTAAAACCATAAACTGGCGCATGTCGTCGCGGCGTGAAGTCTTAATTAGAATCCTAGCGCTATTACAAAGGAAGACGTTACTTGAAACAAAATATCGCACATTAAAATGTTTAAAACGGCACTATTCGACCGTGCAATCAATAAAAAATGTTGCAGTGTTGACGGAGGACGGGGCATTTGCCCTCTTTTTTCGTCCCCACCCGGGGGATTTGACAGCTCAAGAGTCCCCACCCCCGGCAATTTACCATCGAAGGCAAAAAAAAAAAATGTTAATGCCCGGGAGTCAGCCTGGGGGGAGGGGGGGGGGGGGNTTCCCGAGCTTTTGACACTCACGCGGTTTCCTATCAGAATATAACTACACAGAGGATATTACTGGAAAAAAGCAGATTGGCTCGTCTGTCAAGAACGGGGGGTTGTAAAGGCATGTTCTCGATTTTATGCATGCATTTCTTCATTGCTTAATCAAACCAGAATTACATAGCGAAACTCAGGAGCTATCGACGTGAATCAACGTTTTTTGGTTAGTGAATCAATTTCTGTTGAATATTTCTGTTCACAACCTATATATAACTTTACAGCGCTCTATTAATTTTAATGTCAATAATTTTATATCAATACTAAAACCATAAACTGGCGCATGTCGTCGCGGCGTGAAGTCTTAATTAGAATCCTAGCGCTATTACAAAGGAAGACGTTACTTGAAACAAAATATCGCACATTAAAATGTTTAAAACGGCACTATTCGACCGTGCAATCAATAAAAAATGTTGCAGTGTTGACGGAGGACGGGGCATTTGCCCTCTTTTTTCGTCCCCACCCGGGGGATTTGACAGCTCAAGAGTCCCCACCCCCGGCAATTTACCATCGAAGGCAAAAAAAAAAAATGTTAATGCCCGGGAGTCAGCCTGGGGGGGGGGGGGGGGGGGGTTGGGCTCAGCTGGAATTGACTGATGCATTACGTCCTCCAGAGCACCTCGCAAAGGAAATTTCACGTCTGATCGTGCTTTCTCGCCTCACACGCCCTACGGGCCTGTGAGGCCAGACCAGACAGCCTCGCTCCAGACCTTTGGTTAACTGTTCGCGCGTACTGCTTAAATACGCGAAAATACGGACTGTTTTGCAGTCTAAAGTGACCCTTGATGCTTGGTGGTGATCATAAAAAAAAACTTCCTGCAATATCATTGTTCAACCAATAAAAAGCGCCTTAAGCGTAAAACAAAATTTGCTTCAGTTTCCTCTTCATTTTCTAAAAAAAAAACAACAGCAACAACAACAACAACAACAACAGCGACAAGAAACAAGATCTGTGCCGGCCCAGTCCCGAGCACTGAGTATAAAGCCCTTGGCAGGAGCACGATCCCAGAGTCATGATTTTGAGTATTTTGAAAACATGAAATGTTTTGTGAAAAATTTTGAGTCGCGTAAGTCGATTAAATCCTATGCTATGCATAACCATTCGTATGAAACCTCTCTTGCAGACCTTTCATATGGTACCATTTATCTTTTTACCTTTTCAAGATGAAATATGGAAATTTGCCTTGATGTAAGTTGGGTGACATTGAGAATTTAAGAGGTTAAGGGATTAAAAAAAAGATGCGCGAAATCAATACCACAGGTCAAACATGAGGGTTAAAAACAAAATGTCAGCAACGCAGTGACAATTATCGCCGCAGTAGACACGCAAATTCGATTTTCTGTGGTTTCTTGGTCGAGGAAGCTTCATTCACCGAAGGATCCATCAAACGTAGTTTTGTACCGTTTCATTGCCACGTTTCGGTCATGCCGATAAGCTCCGGTAAGGTAATTTGCGTGTCACTGGCGCATATTATTTTTGGAACACTGATGACCGTCTGTGGCGTTCTCCAAGTTATTCTTCAGCTGAAATTTTTGTGGTTGGATTCTTTCTACACTGGTATCTGGGTCGGAATATGGGTGAGTAATATTGACCAATATTAGGATACTTTATCTAGATGCAGCAACTGTAAGATCCCCTCTTTACAAACTCATCAGTCAATTCGTGAATAGAAAACAAAGCCAACCAGCACTCAAGGGAAGAATGTTTTTTTCTGTCACAAACTTTTGCCAAGAACTGGCCGCCTGATTTAGCGAAACATAACACAGCGAGAAAAAAATTAAGAACGGAACGAATCCACAAAACTGGAGGATATTACAATGAATTTTAAAACTTTTTTGCCCCTGCAACGGCTTTTGAGTCATCTCTGTTTCTTGCAACTTTACAAGCGTAACAAATCTGTTTGTCGTGAAAATGTGACTTAATTGTCTATTTATTTTTAGGTTATTTTTTCCCCACCCAGGCGTTTTCAGTTGCTAGTAATAACCACTTAACTATCCAATTTAAACTTTAAACTTCTACATGAGATGGTAGCACAGTATTTTCCATGTGATTGAGAGATCCAGAAACCTCCAAGTCGGACCTGAAAATAATAAAACTTGGCTTTTGGCCCATTTTCGGCGTTTGGATATCGGATGAAAAAGTGTCTCACAAATTAAAGCACCTTTTGCATAGCGTGTTATAACAACAGAAATCGTCAAAAAATCGAGGTGGGGTTTGGGTGGTAGACTTTAACTAGTAGCAGTACGATCTCTTTCTTTTAAAAACGAATAAGTGCTACACAACAGAGAAGAAAAAGTAACATGATATGCGGAAGTACGGCAGACATGTCCATGTTTAAATTGTTTATAAAACGTCACATTTGGAGTTGACCATTGCGTTTGAAATCGAAAGAACAAAGTACATCCAACTTCAATGTTGCACAACTTGTTCCGTGCATATAGCGAATGATTTACAATTGCTGTCGCCAGGTTCCTGTGGCTTATGGCAAAAGTCTCAACAAACTGTGGTCCTGAAAATATGGATGGCAGAAATAACGATAAGACTTACATGCTTTTATGACTCAAAAAAAAAATAATCTACTTAATATCTTCCATCGTTTGACAATTCAAATGACCGTCTCTGTCCAGAAAGATTATTGAGATCCAGAAATGTTACTACGTGACGTCACATGCATTTAGTTGCGCAATGACGAAATGTGGGGTGAATTGATTGTTGCCTTTATCATGACATTTATCAATCCATGACGAATGTTAAGTGGGTGATTGACGGTTTCGGCTTCCCTTTTTCAAGCTTTATCATGACATTTTTGTAGTGCAAATGCTGTCAATTCAGCTAGTGTGTTGAACAAATAATTTTTTGGAGAGTTTTCATCGTTATTTTGCTTGGTGGATCTCTATGATCAAGATGGATGTAATTTTCTTAAAAAAGAGACTTCAACTTCATCATCGCTAAGAGACAATTTGATAGAGGAAACAATGGATTATTCAGAGATTGAAATATTTTTTCTCGGGCAAGCTATTGCGACATTGATATGCTTAAGTTGTCTGTTGTTGCTGATTTTTTTGCAGATGAGCTTCACAGGAATTTTGGGTGTCATCGCCAGTTTCAGGATTAAATTCTTTGTAAGTATCAAGTAGAACAGAGAAACTTAACAACCCAAAAATAGCATTAAATAAGATACTTTGGAAAGATCTTCATTATCCACTTCCCAAGTCAACGTTGTAGAAGATGTAGTGATAGTTCACCCCATATGAGGGAATCCAAGAGATAGTCTTGGATTGTAGACTCCACACCGTGGATTCCAGATTCTGGACTCCAATCTTAAGTGTGATTCCGGATTCCTTGAGCTGTATTCCGAATTCTTAAGTCAAAGATTCCGGATTCCACAAGCAAAAATTTCCCAGATTCCGGATTCCTCGGACTCCAGATTCCGGAATCCATCGCAAGGGGCCAGATAGTAAACTTTGACCTTTTTTACTACGGCTTAGTTTGTCGTTTGTCTCACCATGGTAACTTTGAGACTGCCTGTGATTTTCTGACCGCCCTTTGCTAATGCGCATCAGGCAATCGTGGCGATAGCGGTGTGAAATAATTATTAGTGGTGCTTTTCTGTCAGTTATTGCGCTACCATCAGGCAATTTCTATGGTCTAGACCTTTATAGACCACAGCTCTCGACCAATCAGCGCAAAAAAAATCGTTAACTTTTTGTAAAATTATCCTATCCTCATTGTTCTCGTTAGAAGTTATTCCCGCCTCAGCGGTTCGCTATGGTACCGATGGGCTATCTTGATGCCTTTTATAATTTCAGCTGTTCTCTTCATGATCTTTTCCTCCACCTCCGGCTTTCCATAACCATTGCACAATTTCTATGGTCTATTACCTCACAGAATATCGCTCTCCACCAATCAGCGCGCAAAAATTAACCAGTTATTGTAAAATTATTGACTTTTTATGTGAGGAAATGTTTCCAGCTCAGAGCTCCGCTATGATACCAATGTGCTATCTTATTTACTTTCAGGTTGCTCTCTTTACGTTTTTTTCCATCACCTCCAGTTTGCTGGGTTTAGCAAGCGTTAGCTACTACGCCAACACTGGTGCAGCTTCTTGGGATGTTTACTGGAGTTCCCTTTATTACCTCATCATCTCTTCAGCTACATGTCTCTTCGCCATAGTTCAGGTTATCATAGGAGTCGTTGCAGGCATTTATAGTTGCCTGGCCTGTGGTGGCGACACTCAGTCAGAACAGGTAGGACCTGACGGGGTGATGTCATGGCTAGCATTGCGAGTTCTATTTTTTTTTTTATCAAAGCCGAGTTGAAATTCTGACTAACCTGAGGGGGCGCTTCGTTTTTCGCACTTTTGTTGCGAACTGGGCGAGCGCGAAACGAGATCGAGTGACTGGTGACAAAGCGCAAGGGACCAAGAGAAGGGGCGAGAAAGAAGAGGGCGAAGAGACTCTCTTGCTTTCTCCTTCCCGCCTTCCTTTGCGCGCAAATTAACATCGATAGAAAGACGTCTGGGAACGAGCCAGCTAAGTAAACTTTTCTCATACTTAGAAGTCTGAGGTAAAGATATCAAATGACTCTTTCATACGGGAAAACAAAGCAATGATCGGCTTCTGGTCAGTTTTCGACAACATAAGTGTTTGACTTGGAATAGTTTGCCCAATTTTTGTAGGTGTCCCAAACCAGTCATGCAGGAGTTGAACTCTTTTCTTACGTAAACGCTTTCTTTTGTTCCAATAAATTTTCATAGGTGCTAGGCAAGTAGAAGAAAACGTTCTATAGAATATAACCACTAGACAGAGTAACAAATAGTAACAACAATTAATTTAAAATAACTTAATTAATTGTTGCCTAGCTATTGAATCTTACACTTATTTTGCATTTCACGAATGCAGGCATCGGTGGTTTCGTCAAACAAGGTTGTGCCGATAAATAATGCAGGGCCAGCTAGTGATGATGGCAGAATGTCAGCACAGGACGACCAGCTACCGATGGTTCAGGTGGAAGATGCTCAAGTATGAAACGTACAAGAAGTAGAGGCTGTGCTTTTCAGAGCACAAGAGCCACGAAGTCTTTCCATTCACAGTTTCCTTATTTGTAGGATTTTATACGAGCCGCTTTAATGCGCACCTCTGCTACCGCGTGAATTTTGGCACATTATTTGTTTTAGCTAGTCAATGAATTAGGACAGGCTCAATCTGTATTTAAACACAGTATTTGGTTAGGCCAGTTTGTGTGAATTCTTCTGCTATATTTCTAGGTTTTCTAGGTCATTAGAAATTTTCTCTTCCTTGCTCACATTTTTCTGTGTATCGTATGGATGTAAGCAAGGGTTTTACCTGTACACGATTCAAGTAAAACGTAAAAAAGGGGGAAACCAAGATTTAAGACGGAAGACAGCAATGTCAATGTTACATTGAAGCATGCGAATAGAAAAAGTTGCTGGAGGTCATGCATAGCTACAACGGACATTAAAACAACATTCTTTGGGTTTTTTCATTCAATTTGCTGCAATGAAGCAGAAAATGTTTTCAGTTTTAGCTGCCGGTCTTTTAATACTTAGCAGCTTAGAACTGAATCACGTGCCTAACTGAGCATAGTTTCTCCTTACTTTGGGACAAAAGTTAAGCTAGATTTCGAGTTTCCTGAATAAGTCATGGAAAAACATCAAGAACTTTTTTAATTATCGACTTTTAACAAGTCACTTACGAGGGATTTATAAGTTACAGAACGTTATTTTTCATTGCGTTTTACTCCTTTTTTCACCTTTTTATGGTTAAGATACTACATTTATGTAAATAAAAATATACAAGGATGCACGAGTGTTAATAAGTTTGTACATGTAATGTATAGTAAGTATTAGCGCAGTATTAAAATGACTACTCTAGGATCATATACTACGGTTGCTGTTATTGTCTTAATTTTCTACGATAAATAAATCGTCGCTTATCTACCATTCAATTTATTTTCTTGCCTACGCCCTTTTCCAGTGGCACATAATGAATGCTGGGTCGATTTATAAAGCCACTATTCCTACATTTTATATACATCACTTTTATACCCAACTTGTTGATGTTTTGAGTAGGATGAATTTCGGCGTACTGTTAGTATTTCCGAAATCCAGGATGGTGGGCATAAGACCCAGTTATGAAGCCTTTTTTTACGTAAAAAACCAAAGCTTTAATAGTCTTTCTTTCTTTTTTTTTTTGATGCGCTGCGAGCTTTATGAGCGGTTTATTAAAATGACCAGATTCAATGGTCAGCTGCGTTCTAAACCACATTCATTTGGGCCAACCCTGCTATTTGAACACCGTCTGCTAAGAACGATGTCAAGAAGAAATATACAGTACATGTACATATTGTGAACTACAAAATCTAGTATGTACTTTGAATAGTCCACTTTCAAACAAACAGATCAATACATACATTTCATACTGAAATTTGAAAGTGAAGAGACTATGATCGATCAGCATTTTACGACTTCTTTTAAATCTGCCTTTAAAAAAAACGCAGCTTGTATGTAAAAGTAATAGAGAGGAAATTTCTCTATGATAAATACATGCACGCAATTTACACGCGTGTAAATGCTGCAATTTCCGTGGGCTGTATTGTAGATGCAGGTCAGTCGGGGTGACCCCCCTCCCCGCCCCCCTCCCAAAGGGGAGGAACACTCAGGGAAAGTATGGGTACAGATGTGCGGCGAAGGCCTTCAAACCCTGCTGAATATGTTTATGACAAAAATAGTTCACTTTCCCACCCTGTTTAAGAAAGAGACCTAATTTTATGACCCTGATTAATTCTGTTTTGCAAACAGAATTAAAAAGTTTTCCCTCGCAAAGCAAGCGCTGAAGCATGTAAACAAAGTTTATATAGTGAGACAATAACTTTTTGAAAAAAAAAAAACAGTTGGTACCACACATGCTCCTTTTTTATACTAAATGGTGAAATTGTACATTGTGTACCCTGTTAGAGACTCAATACCCTGAAAACCACGCCCTGTTCAGCAGCACATACAGCCACATACTGTAAGGGAGTGCCTCCCCTCTCTCAGTATAACCCCCTGCCTAAATTAACCTACAGCTATGAATCGACCTAAAACAGCAACATGATCCTTGTGATATACACATGTACTGTAGCCCCTTTACAAAGGTACAGTATACATCAAAAGCAGTATTCACCAACATCTACATGTAACTAAAATAATACCAGAGAATCATTCACATGTGATATATAACAGCCCCTGCAGTAGTTGCTAGGTACACTTCACTTCAATCTCACACATACATGTACAAGTAGTACTTCTCTATTGTCTTTAAGCATTTGCGGCTGAATATCCAAACCTACTGGCCACGCTTTTGCCTCCTGGTTCTTGGGATGTTGGTGTAAGCATCAATGGAGTTTCACACTAGAAAGACACAGCGCATGATTATTGAAAAGTAGAAAAAATACAAAAAAAAGAGACCAATAAAAATACATAATAGTAACCCTTTAAGTCCGAATAGTGACCAAGATCAATTTTCTCTTCACAATATCACTACATAATCAGGAGAACAGGTTAAGAGAGTTTATACAATGATCACCTAAGGGAAAATGCTCCTTTTATCAAATTCGCTCAACTAATATTATTTAAGAGAATAAAGATGAAGATCAATAAAATTATGGGGAATTTGTTTGTGAATATTGAGGCTTAAAGGGATAAAGATAGCTTGACTTTTCGTTCCCCATCACCGCAAAAAAAATTGAGTTTTATTGCAAACTTGGCACCAGCAAAAAAGCAAATGTATCTTATTATGAAGCAAAATAAATATAATTTTATGAAATAAACGTTTCAAAGTAGATTCAGCACTAAATCAGTTGATCTTTGTGACCTTCTAAAAAGTCTCTCTTGTGAAAGTAAATTAATGTTCCCTGCTGTGGGGAGCATTGAGAGGTACATGAAGATGTCACCCTCACCCC